GTTTTTGTACCTTGTCGATCTCCATAGATCTAAAAACCAAAATCCTCCAAAGTAAAAAGCTTAGAGTTTTTACCATATTAATGCTAACGGAAGGAGCCTCTGAGGGACAAAAAGGCATGCAGGTTTTCACAGAGGATGTCTAGACACAAGCCTGAGTTTTTCTGTTGTGCTGACTGAGCTATTCAAGTCCACACCTTTAACAAGATAAGCTGTTTGCGTGGATGGAACTCAAGAGCTTTTCTTAGGTTTGTGGATAACCTGACAACAGCGCCAATCCCTGACCTCTGGTTCTGAACTAAATCACTCTCTGCGACTTGCCGTGAAGAAAAGTTGTCTCTTCAGAGTCTGGTCCTCACCAACTCAAAAATACTCTTGAAAAAACTCGATGGCAACGGTGTCTAGTGAACAAAAGCGCAAGATAATACAAATGATAAGATGTATACAAAGAAGAAAGATCAAGATTTCCATCACAGCATGCAGAGCAGACTGAGCAGACACAGCATGGCACGGTGCAGGCAGAGAGAAGTGAAGTGATACTAAGTCACAACTCATACAATTCACTGCCAGTTCAATGCTATTTCAAAAGGCACTCACTGAGTACACTGAATACACTAGATAGGTGTATTATCAAACACTGAGAATTAAACAACAGAATCAATATTGCTCTGGGACCACAGAAAAATCTGACAATGAACACTGACAAGGTAGAAGATCACTCTGCTACTCCTATCTCTTTCCCAGTCAACGGAGGTAATGTCAACCCCTGGAATGTAATAAATGAGATGAACTTCATTACTATCTTTTCTAACATCTTCATGCATAGTTCACTTGCTGCATTGTCCTGAACTCACATATACATAAAATGGTAAACAAAAAAGATTTAAAGAAATGTGATAGTACAGCAACAAAGAGGGATAATGGGTGACAGTCCAGAGAGGATGTGACAGGAGAAGTCTTTAGCAACAGTTGGAGCCATTCCTACTGCAGTGAAGGTAGACACTAGTCTTGATAGGCCAAAACATGTCCTGCAACTAACTTGAAACAGCAGCTATAGATTAAATGTAGGAGACAACTAATGAAATACAGCAGTCATCCTAAACTTAGTTGTTGCAAACATCCTGATGTGCTAATAAAATGAGTAATTGCTTGCTCCAGGATTTTCAAGTTAGTACTTCCAAGAGATAATTCTGTAGTGAATTGACAATTGATAATTCCCAAGTGAAATGACGTTTCATTAGAATGAAAAAATGAAACGTAAATACATATCCTGCCACTGTAGCTGTATATAACATTTTAAAAAATTATTATTATTTTTAGGAAGGACAGAAAAATGTGATAAACATGCAAGCAGCGGAAGAGATGAGAGTTGACTCTTTCCTTCACCTTTCTCCTCACAGGAAACAGTCTTTTGCTTGTCACTAACAGCTGCATATATCTAGGACTTCTGTTCCAGTGTGATGATGGAAAAGGATGGAGCCATGCCCTTTGCCCATCTTTTGTCCCCCGAAAGTACCAAGGACCCCAGTCAGCTTCAGGAACATACAGGCTCTTTGCAGCATTTCAGTACGCACTGTGGGAAGCTTACAGTCTCCCTGCACCCACAGAAGCATGATGAGCTGTCAGTAAAGGGACTAGACCAAAAGCGCTGGTCCATGCCTCAGCTCTGGGCTCTGACAATGATATGTCAAGGCATGCAGGCTTCTGAGCAACTTCCCTTTCTAACCTGCTTTAAAGATGTAAAAAAGGTGACCACTATGTGGTTGTATTGTCTCATAGAATAAACTCTATCTGGAAAGAAGAAATAGGTAGAATTTCTCTGAAAGATCATTATCAAAAATATTTCAGAGAAGTCTGAGTATCTAAAATACACCAAGAAAAAAAATGTATTGCAGAAATGATTTATTTCATGCCAACTGAAGTCATTGACTAGATATTTTAACATACATTTCAAAAATATATCCAGTACATCAATAATTTAAATACTACACAGAAAAATTTATAACTCAGTGAATTTTAAAACAATGTTTTATGCACACGTACTTGTATCATAAGGCAAGAGAAGCTAGTCTATCCATGAGCAGCACTCCTACAGCCTACTCTTGATATACACTGGAGAATAAACATCTTCTGTTACTACAGCCATATTTGAAAATGATTTCCCTTGTCTTCCAGACACTTCCATAGAAATTTAAAGTGATTTCTTAAAGAAAATAATTCCTACAGTGACAGTTAAGATATCACACTTGAACTACTATAATTCACAGGAATGTCAAATACAACAACACTATCCTGAAGAAATAATTGAAGTCGCATATTATTATTGCCTCTCAATTACATCTAAAACACACGCACATAAAATTAAGCATGCTGAGGAATACATTCCAGTGCATTTTAATGGAGACAAAGAACATACGTGATTGGCATTACCACACAACTGAAACAGAAGATACCAAATGTAATGCAATATAATCAATGACAGCAATCTATATACTAGAAAGGGATCTAGTTCAAGGTGCTATTCTGCAAGGGATGCTGTGTTTCTGTCAACATAATCAAATGGTGTAGGAGTGTCTCAGCTTCAGATTAGACTACTTAATTAGAGGCACAGATAATATCAAAAGAACTGCTGTGAAACAGCATATTCCTGCAGAGTTTATTAGGGAAAAGGAACGTAAAAATTTCAAAACATTTACAAGATACACCAGTAAGTTGCTCTGTAAAAAAATCGATCATTTTCCGAATGCTAAAACAAAAATTAAAAGCTAGGAGACAATATACGCAATGAGTGGCATTTCTTTTAATTATACATATGGAAACAATTCTGTTATGAATAGGCAGATTTCCTTAAGAAGCCTCACAGAAAGTTTCCATTCACAAAATGATCTCTATTTGGTACTGTAAATCCCCTCAAACTGCAAGTAATTAGCAGCAGTAATGAAATTTGGAAGAAATAATGTATTTTTCATTAAACATTGACAACATTCTGAGATAAATTTAGTAAAGTGAGAATTATCGTCATTACTGAAAATCAGAGTAACCATTGGTAATATTTCATATCTAAAAATCACCATGATTGTTTTAAAATAGTAAGAATAAATATTGAACAGATAGCAGCTTTCCACCATTCCCTTTAATACTGCTAATGACGATTTATTTTACAAGTGCTTGATTGCAAAGCAGAGACATATTGTATACTGTGATTTTTCCAGTAGTGTAAGTTACAGTAGTTTAAAGTTTGTTGCCATACTCATATGATAGAATATGCCATAGTATGCCCAAATTGTCACTTGCTAACACAGACTAGAAGCTCAGGTTTTTTTGTATTCCCTCATAAAAAAATTCCTTACTTTACATCACTAAGTGCTGTGCCTTAACATGCAGAGAGGGCTCATTTCCCAGTATGTGTAAGTTAGCAGAACATGTACATGCTTAAATGCCTGAAAATACAGAACTACAGTTCTAGCAGGAACAGTAAGACTAGACTAGAGCTTTTTGCTATCTGTACTGTCTAAGAAATCCAGCACTGACAGAGTGTTAAAATAGTTACTGTTTTCACTCCCGCTTTGTAAAGTTTGTGACAATTTACTTTTCACTGGTTTACAATCTTGGGTGGTTGCTTGGTGCAATTTCTATGTGTAAGTGGTGCTCACAGCATAAGAAGTACACTTTGGCTGCTTGCTAATTCAAGAAGTGGAATTGTAAATAAAGATACAACTGACATTCTTTAGTTGCAAATAAACATGACTATATACCAACAGAATTAATAAACATTCTGTTTCCTAAAGCAAACTTTGCAAGCTCGTTTTACTTCAAATTATCAAATCTGGAGCATCAAATGTGCTGCAAGAAAAACATTAACATACATTACAATCACAGCTTAAACATGCCAAAGCTGGTTTTAGTTTATTTACTTATATTTCTTTTAATATAGGCTATTTTTAGAGTATAATTACAGTAGCAAAGAACTCAGTACAGATGCCACAGTCAGGCACTTACTTAACCCCCAGGCAAGTTCTGCATTATTTTTATAAGCAGTAACTGAAGTAGTCTGCAGTGAGCTCAAGTACACAGCAAATGTTGTGCAGGTACATAGCTTGGTTCTGTAATGTTCTTTTATTGTAACCAGTCATCTTTAGTTAAAAGCTTTTCATATTTAGTCATAGGAACTTACAATTACTTTTTGAAACACTAATTAGCTACAAATTGCACTTAGAGCAAGAGTAATAACTGTTAGTCAGTAATGAATACATGGATGAAACATCACACGGATGACATCACTTATCATCTCCTTATTTAAACCTTTAGTATCCAGCTGGTATGTGACACTGGGGATCTCTAAGCACTATCCAGAGAGAGCTGTTGAGCTATTTTAAAGCCCTCGTGTCTGTGGTTTCAAAAAGCAGCCATTAGTTACTCTACTACTCCACTGCAACATATGACAAAAGGTCAGAAGATTCCCATCTAAATGACCTCATAATTTCAATACTAGCAGATGGATTCCCACAGCAATTAATTTACAGTAAAATCCTCATATTACTGTATCCTGAGGAAAACACACAGATGTCTTATGTCACGAACTAGTTAGCTTTTGTATATAAAACCCTCAACAAGTTTCAATTGTAAATTCGTTAGCAACCATTCCACAGGTGTCTGAGCGACTGAAGGAAGTGGAGCTGTTTAATCTGGGGAAAAGGAGGCTGAGGGGAGACCTTATTGCTCTCTTCAAATATCTGAAAGGTGCTTACAGCGAGAGCAAGGCTGGTCTCTTCTCACTGGTGACAGGATGAGGGGCAATGGCCTCAAGTTGCACCAAGGGAGGCTTAGGTTGGATATCAGGAAAAACTTCTTTACAGAAAGGGTTAAGCACTGGAATAGGCTCCCCAGAGAGGTGGTTGAGTCACCATCCCTGGATGTGTTTAAAAACCAATTGGATGGGGTGCTCAGGGACATGATTTAGTGGTGGGTTGTTAGAGTTAGGGCAGTATGGTTAGGTTGTGGTTGGACTTGATGATCTTTTAAGGTCTTTTCCAACCTGAGCAATTCTATGATTCTATGTGTCTATGAATGCAGAAAAATCATGCCCTGAGAAGGCTGATTCAATACTCTGAAGTCAACAGCAGCTAGATAGGAGTACTTCACAAGAGCTCTGAAAAATAAACATTCCTTTCATGATTTTTCCATTAGCACTGAATTAGATCCCTTTGTAGTGACATTTCAAGAGTTAAATAAAGAACTTACACCTTATTTCATCCATGTATTTTTACAAATACAAATTACAAATAAACTTTTGGGCAATTAAATGACATATAAGCTATAAAAATAGAAATATAAAGTCTAGAAATGTTAATTGTTGATGGATGTCCAAAAAACATATACAACCTCTTTCAGATCAGGCTGGACTAATAATAGCATTTCTAAGATTATCTAATAAAAATTAAATATGTAACATCACAAAGTTGCTATAGAACAGTCTGCATCCAGAAACAACTATCCTATTTTCTTGACTTTCATTCCCTGATACAGCCATGCTGTATCATGCTGATCAAGCTTTTATAAGACATAAAATACTCAAACTAAAATGTGTCCTCTTACATGCAACATAGAAATTACATGAACTTGGGTACATTTGAGCATGGCTGTAATTCAGTGTATTCACCTCATAAGTGAGGGTTACTTTATGTCTGCCCTTTTATTTACATAATCATTTCTACACAAGCATTTTTCCTCCTTCATAACAGAAATATAGTATTTTAAAACAGGCAGATCAAATTAATAATATAAGATCAATATATTATAAATACCACTACTGTTAGAACATACAATGTACTAAATTGCAGGAGGTAGAGTTAGATCCCCATTAACAGTTACTTCAGAAAAAGACTACTTCTAAAAATTAGTAGAACATGTAGTTCATGAAAGTTTACTTTTCAGACTATCTCAGTCTCAGGTGCTTTAATGGATGCTTATCTTTTTAAGCATGATAAAAAATTAATGACGGAAGCATGTTCTCTTTCCATTTTCATCATCATTTAGAAATAAGTAAAAAGAAAACTCCCAAGTGCAAGAATATATGACAAATTCCCATAAAGCAGCATTTTAAGTTAATCGTATTTCCCAAGATATCATGAGTATGATCACATCTTTTACCTTATGATTACACTTGAAAGTTCATTTGACAAACTACAGTTAAAATGCATCTACACCAATTAAATTAAATAGAAGCATTTCTACATAGTTAATAATTGGCATTTTTGAATGGCATTTAAATGAATATGCATTTAATCTTTTTGCAACAATTTACTGCAAAATACAGGCACCTTAAGAACTGATACATAATGCAAACAGGACATGTGGGATATTAAAAGTGTTCATCATTATCTAGTTGTGCTATGTATTTCCCTTCTTCTAAAGAAACACTCAAAAATTTTAAGCTGTGTCTGAAATCTATGCAAATAATTTTTTTCCAAATTTAACTCATTATTCACATTAGATTTCTTTTATGCTTTTAAAAAAAAGAACCCAAAACATTAGTCTGCCAATATTTTTCAACAGTTAGAACTGTAAAAATCTTAAGCAAACATCATGCCTTTGATAACATTTCCTTGCTATTGCACATACATTCATACGACAGTGAAACCTTCATCCATATTCATCTAGTCACACACACAATCTAGAATTGCTTGGGTTGGACCGTAAGGACAATCCAACACACTGCCCAGGCACAGCTGCAACTCACTTGCCCAGGGCCCCATCCAGCCTGGCCTTGAACACTGGAAAAGAAAATATCACCTTTCTTGACAAATACATATTCTAAATTTCATTAGTTCTAAAACTAATGCCAGCAAGATTTGTGAAAACAGACTGCCATTCAGTCCTTCTGCTTATTTAGGGTCTGATCTAAAGACTACTGAAGCCAAAAGAAGACTAATTTAAATCTGTAAATTTTGGACTAGTCATAAATGTTTAGATAGAAAATTTAGTAAGTGTCCACTATTGTAATCAATATAACTGCACTTTGGATGCATCAAGATTTTCTCATAGCATCTTTTTCCATACAAAAAAAAAAACCCTTCCAGAAAATGTTCATTCTGAAGCTTAATATTGTAATTCAAGTTGAGCCTTTTTTATGAAATTAATCTCTAGTAATTTAATTACTAGTTCTCTCCTTTTGGTCATTATAAAAACTCATATGGATGCACAATAACATCTAAAATAGAAGAAGAATATTCTTGTTGTAACTGGTAGAGTTACCATACAGATACATTTCCAAAATATAGCTGTTTCTTCATTTTTTTAATAAAACAAAAATGATCTTTTCTGGTTCAGCAATAACCATAAATACAATGTTTTCCAAGCAGCGAATAGGAAATAGATTGCCAATGATTTTTCTTTAGATTTAGATTAGACATCCTCAAATATTCTGCTTCGAGACATTGACAGATATCTTCCACCAGGCTGGTACCTGCAGAATGAATTTTAAATATGAAAAGATATCACAGCAAAAAGAAGAAAGACCTATGAATGAAGACTTCAGATATCACATCTGCTCCAGAAAAATTATATATGCCTACTTCCATTTTTGTAGACTGTTACTTATTTCAAACACTGTATAGAAGTAGAAAACAGAATTACACTAGGCTGCTTCCTATTTAAACTTTGTGCTAAAAAGAAACCCAAAAAGAACTCCAGAAGCCAAAACTTTTCCAAATGTGGTGACATTAGATTAGACAATTTAGTTGTCAGTATTAACAAGTATTGCTGAATCAACCTGTCGAACCTGCCACCATCATTTAAAAACATTCTTTATATGTTTATGGACCGGCATTTATTTGCTGAAGTTACAGACAGAAGTCAACACAAACAATTTCAGATGGATTTGATATGCTAATTTAAACTGAAAAACATACAAATTATAACTTTTTGTAGAAAAATTTTAAACAATTTGTCATAGCAAGGTTCTAATACATAGCTGTCTAGATTAAAAAAGCACGATTAAACATTTTACTTCTTTCCTGGATGCAAGTAGAACTTAGCAGCTAATAATATATCCTATTTCATGATGGATATTGGAAACACACACAATTCCCTATTATTCACATAGCTACACTGCTCAGCATAAGACTTTGCCCAATAGGTTCAGATTTGAATTTACTAGTCTCAAGATCTGATGCACAGGTGCACTCCTGCAACTACTGATCCTATAATGCTCAGTTTCATTTCCTTCAATCTTTACAGATTTTCTTTTATTCAAGGAATAATAAGCTCTCTGAAGTCTTATAGGAAATTGAGAAAAATAAAATACCTATACTGAGCATATGTAAGTCATTATTCTGTACTTTCACTACTGTGTTTATATGCACAGTTTCCAGATTATGCTAACACATAAATTTATGGTCATCTCAAACCTTACTCAGACATTTCTATAAAAACTGATAAAACCCAGTGGTTTCAATTGGGTTGAAAACACTTTCGATATCATCAGAGAGAAGGAAGAAAAAAAAAAAAGCGATGTGAGAAGCAAATACTGTTTATAAAGGTATTATACAAAATCATCTGACATAGCTGTTACAGGACAGGAGATAAAAGCTATTAAAATTTTTAAATTGTAAGTAAAACAGAGGATTCCTCACCTTCCAGAGTCCGATTCAAGAGGGTCATCACTAATTGAGTCTGCATTAAAATCCAAAGGTTCTGCATCCTGAAGAAGTTCTATTCTATCTCTTTCAGTCCTACCATTTGTTCGAGTGTACTTTGACAGTGCTGAATAGGTAAAAAGCAGGAAAAAGATCCATTTAATTCTATAAACACATCCCACTGTGTGAAAACATCAAACTTAAAAGACCAGTATAATAATTTGCTAGTAACTCATCTAAAGCATAATCATGAATATGTAGAGTAAATTCAGTATTAAATAAAATCTGACCGTATGCTCAAAGTTTGGGTCTTTTTAGATTTTTTGTTCTTATTTATCTGCAGAACGACATAACTGCAACAAGCAGATGAGATCCATTTTGCAAAGAGTCACAGAAAATTAAAAGTTAAAATTAAAAGTAAAAAATATAGAAACATTATTTACAAATAAATAAATTCTTGCCATTCTTGACATTTTTAACCAAGACAGACAAAAACGCTACGTGCAAAATTTAGCTGGAATTTTTTAAGTTCTTCTGTTGGTTTTGAAATGGAAAAACTCATGAATGAATGAAATACAGCTGTTTAGCAATTCACTGCCAGCTTCAGGCCAGTGTCTACAGCTTGTTTTGGGCCTAGTTAATAGCAGAATATAATTGAATACAATTTCAGTTAGTCTTTATCTGAATACTTTGGCTTCCTACTGGTTTCCACTCTTAAAAAGAGTGGCAGTAAGACCTACTTTATTTTTTATTGAAAGCACTTGTCTTGAATCTTCTCCTTTTTATTTTATAAACTTTAATCACTTTTCCATCACTTCATTCAACCTGTCACATTTAGCTGTTTAGTTTCATTTCTCACCTGTTGTTAGCTTACATGAGTACATGAAATATGCACTGAAAGTTAGCAAAAGGACAAAAAAAATCAGTGGACAATAAGAGGTTTGTTTACTTTTAAACATTTTCAACTCAACATTATTCTTCTTCTACAAGCAAATACTGCTGTACATGTAACAATCTAAATTGGCTAGTTTAATGTGTTATTAAATGACATGCATGCACTCATGTATATTCTGGCTTTATATTTGTAAGTCATTACTCCAACCCAAATCAGTTTATTTGCATGCAGAAGAGGTTCATTCCAATATTTAAAATTTCCAACTGCGAGGTATACCTCAAATATAGTTTTGTGGGTTTTTTTGTTAACAACTGCTACTCTAGTTGTATGTCCCATGAGAAAATCAAGTAATTTAGACCAGCCAGAATCTCCAGCCTCAGCAAGTCGAAATGTAGAAGATGAGAAGAAACATGGCACTTGTCTTGAATGGTCAAGCTAGCACTATTTCCTTCCTAAAGAAGGAAATGTATCAGTATATGATCTGAGACAAAAAGGAAACTTTTTACTTTTACTTACAGTCAGTATTGCACAGACAGGATATTAAAAACCTAAAAGCAAGCAAACAAAAAATTTCCACACAGCACAAAAAAGCCCCACACAACTTACGTCTATTAGTATTGGCCTCTGAGAAGCTGGATTCTTTTTGCTCTGTGTGGACAACCCTGTTTCTAGTGGAATCCTCTCTATTTCCATACCGTTCTTTCCATTCCTGGAAAAAGACAAAAAAAGAAAAACATGAACTGTCAGAAAAGTAACGCAACTAAAGCACACACAGGATCAACAGATACTGCAGTCTAGAGCTAACTGATCAACCTTGCCACACAGTGAAAGAAAATACTTTGAAAATGTTACTGCTTGATATCTTGATACAAGAAGAGTTCTTGTTTTGTTTTTAGCTCAGTGTTTATGTACCTTTACAAAACCAATTTCAGTAACTGCTCTTTAGGAGAAAAATACTCAGAGGAAACAAACTACATATTAAATCTACAAAGTTCTTCAACTGTTACAGTGCAAAGGCAGATGCTCGTTGTTTGGTTTATATTTCCATCTAGTGGCAGAATGGTAGAACACCCAGACAAAAAAAGAAAAACAGTTATTGTTATACTTCTATCACATAATCTTTTAGCCTTCAATAATTTTAATACGAAGAATTATGAAGTATTAAAGAAGAAAACCTACTCTTCTTAGGAGACAAGTTCATGACACAGTAGAAACCTTTCCTATTGCATCTGTAACTTCCATATTGATCAGATTCTTATATGGACCCTTGATAAACTCAAAAGTTACTATGCTAATTTATGCCAACAGATCTTACAGTTCAAGCTGCAGAGAAAGTATTTATCATGATGTAACAAAAGAATACTCTTATATCCTCTAGAAGTTTCAAGAATATATGTGCTACAGTGTAAAATGCAAACTCAAAAAACAGGTTTTTTCATATTCATATTTTTTTCTATTTCAAAAATAGAAAATGAGTTTTCTATTGAAAATAAAATTGCTGATTTATGTCAGTTCATTTCAGTGTGTAACAAAGGTATAATGCACTGACTGGTACTTGGTTTTGTATTAAGGGAAAGCCTTAAAACTATGGGATGGAAGGTGCAGAGCAGAGCATCAGAAGAAAGGTTTTTGCAGTACTAGCTGTTAACAAGAATTGAAGGCAAGTATCCCTGAGCTTGAAGAATCCAGAGGTTTTAGACCCCGTATTATCCTAGCTTTCTGCAAATAATACTTTTCCTTTAGGCAGTTTATTTTTCACATGTACTCCTTAGATATCCTTTCTTTCTATACTGAATTTGAAGTCAAAAACAAAAGCTACAATTAACTGAACTTGCTGAAGCGAAACTCTCTGAATTATGTTTCAAAAATTATTTGAAACAAAGATTCTGTTTGTTACTCAGTGGCAAGAGTACTCATTCCTTCCTGCTTATTTTCTTTGAAGAAGGGAACTACATTAAATGTTTTCCCTGCTCAGAAGGAAAAAATTAATCTTTGCCAATTACTAGCAATGACTATGCAAAACAGCAGGGTAAGTCTGTGAAGAGCACTCAGTCCCCATTCCAAGAGAACAACCCAACACTGCAAGTCTGTTATTTCAAGCAAATCAGCATCAACAGAACAGACTGAGAACAAACTCTTCCAGATTATTCTGAATCTTGTAGGTCAGGTCTGGTTATCTTGACCTATGTTTATAGCCATAATTGATTCTAAGAATAGAGTGAGTAACAAGAGAGTACAAGTAGTATCACCACAATAACCCTCTTATCTTTTAAAAAGAAAATATAAATTATCTTTTTTCCTCAGCCAGGACTATTCTACAAGACAAAACTGTTTCCATCTGTGGTTGCAGGACTTTCTTCTTGTAAAAAGTTAGTCTGAATTAAATAACAATGGCCATCCCCAGTAGATTTTTTATTATATTAACATTGTGATTACATAAAATAAATCTTTTACCCTTCTTCTGTTTTCACCTTCTTCCTGCCTTTGCCGTTTTCTTTTCTCTAGAAATAAAAAAAAGTCTGTAGCTAAATACAAGAACAATCACTTCTAACAGGTTTTTCTTAAACAAATGCAACAAAAAAAATAACATTAACTATTGAGATTCTTACTGAAATAGTTGGTTAATACAATTAAAGACACATGAAGTTCATTGTAATGGAATTTCTCATTAAAATTAATTTGTCATGTTGACAACGGCTGTCATCAGTGCTGAAATGCACCACTTACATGCTCACATCTACTCCTTTGGTCTCCTTAAACATTCAGCAAGCATCAATGAATGCCAATGGGTGCCATTTTTTCACATGGAGGAATTCAATAACACACCTTTGCTTCACCTGCACTTCCATGTCACATGCCATTTTGTCAGACTGCCCCTCTGCTGCCATCACGGCAACAACATTTAACAGAAATATTGTCAGGAAGGCTCAACCTCGACTGCCATGAAACCAACATCCACCTCTGACATTATAGATAAACAAAATAAAATAGGAGGCATTACTTTCAGATCTCAGCCCCCCTAAGATATTATTGATATTACTACTAGTACTACTATAGATATTATTACTAAGATAGTAATGGCTTCAGAGTACCAGCACTTAACTAAATTGTAAAATTACCCACACTGAATGAGTAAAGTTGGTATTTTATTGCAGATGTCAACAAAGTCCAACAGTACTTACATAGCAACCTGTATTGTTAATCTGTAGTGTTTTGTGCAGCAGATTGCCACCTACAGTTCAAAAATTGAAAAGCTATGTCTTTTTATTTTTTTCACAGACATGGAAGAATTACTGTATTTTGTAGGATGATTAGGATATGGGATCTGAATTACCTCTTCGGATTAACTCTTTTCCTTCATCAATCAAATCAGAGGTCATTTCACTGTCCCCCATGAACTGCTGGAAACCCAAAAGATTCAAGCAACGAGTTCCTAAACTGGTAAAAGCAGAAACATAAGGAATTTCCCATATTAGTTTACAATGGGTAAATGGATACATTATATTGCAAAATGCAAAATAGACATTTCAGAAATACAGTAATTTAGGAACAATTAAAAAAACAAAAAGTAAAACATGAAAAACGGAAAACAAATAATACTACCTGAGAAATCAGAAAATTCAAACAAGGTTCCTGAATGTAATTGAAAGGATGGAAGACCTCTGTTCAAGTAGTAGGATAAAAATGCTTATAGTCTGAGAGTAGTACAAATTTAAAACAATTATTTGATATCTTCTCAAATAGAATAGTAATTACGCCTATGTCTCCTCTTGACTCTCCTCTGCCAGAAGAAAATTACTGAAGATTACATGCAACAAGATTTCTGTTTTTGGAACAACAATAACAGGAAAGCTGCTTTCATCTCAGTTATTACTCAGAAGAAACACCTGGCTTTTTTTTTTTATTTTTATTTTTATTTTTTTTTTCAGCTGTAGGAACACTTCTCATTTTGTATCCCATCAGACAGCAGTCAGAAAATAAACTTGCTCCACCTTTCATAAAGGATTAAGCTAATACTGAAATTGTATCCAGGAACTTTTTCACTACCAGAGCCTGCAACTACTGTTTTTTCATTTTTTTCTCTGTCTAACCCAGAACATTAATATTATGTCTAAATACAGCTTCACTTAAGGGGAAGATTTTTCCTGTCCTGTCTCAGCATTAAGACTGCTGGATTAAATAGCTTTATTTGATAAATTTTAATAAACATTCAATCCCATGTGTACTTGATTTTTTATAAGGTATTAGAGATCCTGCAAATCAGATTCTTCATTTTTTTTCTCCCCTTTCCTTTCCCTTTCATTACATTGTAACAGCAAAGAGAAAGATCATCAGAGACAAATTACACAAATCAGTTTTCCTTTCTTGTTTGCTTAGGGGATTATTTTCTTCATAGAATGGCTTGGGTTGGAAGGAACCTCAAGGATTATCAAGCTCCAAACCTCTTGCCATAAGGCAGGGCCACCAACCTCCATTTCTAATATTAGACCATTTAACCTGAAAGTAGGTAGGGAAAAAGTAGGACTGTATTCTTGCTATCAGTGGATGCTCAAACTTTCTAGCATCAAACCACTTTCCCTAAAATTCTAAACATATACAGTGCTTCTAACTGAATAGCAGTGCAAGACTGAAGAAGCAAACAAACATGAAATCATATCTCTTAGAGTGGTCAGAAGCAGATGTTTTGAAATAAAACAACAAAAAGCAAGCACATAACAGTATTTCCTGTAATTATCTTTTCAGATTCCAGCAATCTGTGTTTAAGGGAGAAAGATCCAGTGATTTAAAACACCAGCTAGTCTAGTAACCACTGGATTAAATAAGGAAAACAGCTTTCTTTTACAGATTTTAATTAAACATTCAGTTCCACATATGTTTGTTGCAAGTCTGCTGGAACATTCATTATCTAGAGGTTTTGCAAATCTGTGTATCAGAAAACTGCTGAAAATATAGCTTCCTCACAGTAATTTTAATTTCATTTGGCATAACGTATGTTTGTGGGCTTCAAAGTTTGAACAGAAAAGAACCCAAAACATGATTAATGAATGTTTGGTGGAAAATGGAATTAGTATTAAAGAAAATCAAGAAGTTAGGAGTTCATACAAAGGATATTCTTAAAATGAATACTTTTAACACAAATAAATCTAAAACTATTTCATTATTTTTCGCATTTCTGTTAATATGTCACATCTCATCATCTGGAAATGAGTCTTTTCTTAAGAGATAAAATTGAAATTATTAATATAAAGAAATGCAGAGGATGAGTCTTGCCCATTACTTACCTAAAGTATGTGGCAATGCAGAGAATGACAACAAGCATTGGGTAATATATGTAGAATCCATCTGCAATGAAGGACAGCACTTTCATTGATCCCATTATCTGGAAAACAGAACCAGAAGAGCAAGAAGCTCTGATGATACCCAGGAAAGATTTTGCTACCTCATTCTTTCCAGTTCACAACACATAAATACACAATTCTTAGGTTACATATACATAGGTATTATCATCACACATCTAATTCTTGTCATCTCACCTAATCCAAATTCAGTACAAATTTAGTGTGTTTCATCTGGTGTTGAAGTACAAGAAAAGAGGACTATTTGCTAAGAACAAAGGTAGACATTACTTGCTGTCAGAAACTATTTATTCAGTAGAACCAAATTCAGCAATTTTCAGCAGACAGTAAGGTTGGCTCCTAATCCATAAAGATACCCCATGCACAGAAGCCAGTGGGAGCTAACGCTCTTAAGAAGAGAAGCCTGCACTCTTCAGCAATCTATACTTTTCTAGGACAAAGGACAAAACATTTGGTTGACAACTCCACTGTAGCCAGCAATCATTACCAAACTCCTGCTCTGTAACTCTTTCTACCCTGTTTAACGTAAGTGCAAAAATACAAATATCTGAATCTTACTATAAAAATTATCACAAAGCATTTTCTTCTTCTCTAAATCATGACAAAGCCCCAATGCCTTATTTCCTGTACTTACTGATGTGTAAGCAGTTGGCTGAGCATCTCTGTGAGAGATTGTTGCATCCATATGGGTCAAGCCCAAAAAATTCAAGCATAATGGTGGAGTGAGACGGCAAAATAACCTGAATAAATGCAAGAGGTAACAAACAGCATTTAAAACAATTTATTGCACCCAAAATATTAAGAAATCATATCAAGGAGTATGGCTTTCATGGCCAGGTTGGATGGGGCTCTATGCAACTGACGGACATGAAGGCAATCCTTCCCAAGGCAGTGGTCTTGAACTATAAGGGCCCTCCTCACCCAAACCATTCTATGACACAATTTAAACATATATATGAATATAAATGAAAGAATGTAAATAAATCTTAATGGACATTTTCAATAGATTATTTGACATGAAATTTGCAAAATACGTGCCACATACTCACATGCCACTGAAAAGGAGACTGTATGCATCTGTTTGATGATGTGAAGCTAAGTAGTAATAGTTAAATACGCGGATTCTGAAGACAGTGGAGTAAACACAGATACTGAGGAAAAAGATGGTAAGAAAACAGGCCATCTACAAAAGAGGGAAAAAAATACCTATTTGAATATAGAACTATCCTGGTTTGGCCTGGGACAGTATTAATTTTCCTCCTAGTAGATGGTATGGTGCTGTATTTTGGATTTAAAATAACACTGATAATACATCCATGCTTTAGCTGTTGCTGAACAATTCATTACACTGTCAACATATTACCCTATATTACCTCATCAGCAAGGAGCAAGGGGTGCACAAGGTGCTGGGAGAGGACAGAACCAGGACACGTGATCCAAACTAGATAAAGAGACACCTTATACCATACAAAACCAGGCTGAACAGTAAAACAGGATTGGGATTTGGTTAGAGCAGCTGCCGCTGCCTGGGGACTGGCTGGGCACTGGTCAGCAGGTGCAGCACTTATTTTGTTTATTCTTTTTGTTATCATAATAAAAATCATAAAATCTTATTTTTAGTTCTGTTATTTTCCTTTTCTTTCTTTTTCTTCCTTCTTCTTACACTGTGCTTATATAAAGCTGCAAGTTCTTGTGCTATTCAATTTTCTCCCCTATTCTGCTACATGGAAGCAATGAATGAACAGCTGTGTGGTGTTTAACTGCTTGCCAGGTTAAAACACAAGAACTCTGCTAAAGGTATTAATATGTTAACACAATCTGTATATGCAACAGATTGAATGCAGAGTAATTTTTCGTTTTGAAATTGGACAATAAAATCAGTGCCAATACCAGGAAAAAAAAACCTCCACAAACTTGTGTTGAACTATACCTGAAACACTCTGAACTTCATGTAAGTTATATCATAACTGACACTAGAAACACATACTCTACTTTTTTGTAACATAAATGGCATTGATTTAAGTATCTTGATAATTACAATGAATCATTTAACATCTTCTTCCTTTAAAAAGCATTAAGAACAGGTGTTTTAAGTTCAACCCAATTTATTAGTATACTGAAGCTTCTTCTGCTCATCTGCTTTACTGTTCCCAAGACAAGGGGAAATGGTTTTGAGGGAGGGAAGATTTAAGTTGAATGTCATGGGAAGTTCTTTACTACGAGAGTGGTGAGGTGCTGGAACAGGCTGCCCAGAGAGGCTGTGGATGCCCCGTCCATGAAGGTGTTCAAAGCCAGATTGGATGGGGCCCTGGGCAGCCTGGTCTAGTATTAAATGTGGAGGTTGGTGGCCCTGCCTGTGGCAGGGGGGTTGGAGATTCATGATCCTTGAGATCCCTTCCAACCCTGGCCACTCTGTGATTGTGTGATAACTTTCTGCAGTCAAATTCTAGCCCCATCATGGAGTACTGGATTTCTGGCCAGCAGTGGATTCCTACTTAGGAGAAAGAGGTCATATAAATGGTCGATTAGATGGTAGGTCTAATATAAATGGTCAACCATATAAATGGTCGATTAGATGGCAGGTCTAAATATTTAGGCTCCAAGCTAATGTTTCATGAATTATTCTACATGTGGTATTCAGATCGAACGACTTTCTCTCTGTAACAGAGAGGTAAAAGGCAGACCTCCCTCACAAAATCAAAGTCTGGTACAATGTATTGTACAGAGCTTCTGAAAGCTTGTAACAGAAACTTAAAGTCAATTTCATCTACTATTATTGTAAAAACAATCTAGTTTAAAGCCTTCTGTTGAGTGATGATCTCGAACTTACCTCTATGTATATATAATTGTATGTCTTTTCTGCGAGCTGTATGAATACTGCAAATAGTGATAAAACCGGCCTTGTGCTGAAAAACGTGCATTCCGACCACACGACAATTACAGAGAATGTGGCCAAAACAACTGCAAGAACCCTGTAAAACCATGGTCGTAGAAGACACTCCCAGTACCACTCTGAAAAACAAATACACATACAACTCTCCTGAGTTAATGAAAATTAGACAACCAGAAATGGAACTCCTGTAGGAAAACAAAAAAACTATTAATAACTTACTGCATGAATAACCTTAAAATCAAGGCTAAATCTTTGGAGTTGCACATTCAAATTCTGAGATTTAATGATGCCTAGAGATCTGCCTCAGCCCTAGAGAATCATATGCACCACCTGTGGAAAACAGAATGGATTTGGGTTGCAAATATTGCAAAATTATTGACAAGAACTATTAGAGGGAGCAGAACTGGATTCTCCACTTTCAGCCCACTTTTTATTTGTTTGCTCTTATATTACTCTACTTCAAACAAAGCTTAGACTGTAAAATTGTACTAAGAAATAAATGACTGATATTATACATCAAATCAGAAGTTAATATATGACAAGAAGACACTTTCTAAAAAACTGCACAAGCAACAATATTTCTAATTATCAGTATAGGACAGACAAAGAGCTCTTTCCCCTGTGCAATACTACAAGAGCTGCAATATCCTAATATTCTACAGATGTAAAAGATGGCTACAATTCCATAATTTGAAATTTCAAGTTTTTTCTTCATTTAAAATTTCAAAATATTTCAGTTGCTATTAAAGCATGCTACTGCTATTAAATCTGTAAAAAGTTTAAACCGAGAGTCAAGTGCATAACTCAATGCCTGATGAATCTTTCATTAAACAAGCATTTCAAATGCACACTTTGGAGAGTTTCCCTCTACTCTAACCAAACATCTCCGTATGTCATGGCTTTGTGATTTTTGGTTTTCGGTATTGCACACAATAATATCATGTGGGGCACTGGGAGTTTAACTGTTAATGCTCAAGTCCTGGGTACCTGCCCAAAAGAGAAGAACTACATTCCCCAGGGGACTTTGTGGTCAGGGAGAGGAGATTTAACTCCTGGCAAGGTCACCTGATGCGCTTTCTTTTTCTTCTGCTCTTGGTCGTGGGTGCTGCTCCTGTCTCCTTGCTTCTCAACGGGACTGCGCATCTCACCTCAGTGTTATGGTGAGGCCTATCCACCTTTCGGACATTCTCTCTCTCATTATATTTGATTTATTAGCTTCAATTCTAATTATGTTGTATTGTGGTGTGTTATCTTGCATTCCAATAGCATATTTAGTAAATTAGTTTGTTTCTCCTCAGATTGTTGCCTCTGTTTTTAATTATTTTGGGGTCTCCTGTTCCCTCTTCTGGAGGCGCGGAGTTCTGCGAAATCCCTCCGCCCTGCTTGTCATGGAACCGGGCCAAACCAGCCCTTAAACCAGTGACATCATATAAAACCAGCTGTTCTTACACAACATTACCAGTTACTCCTTTATATATTCAAAATCTGGATAACAGCACTTACCAATTGTTGGTGTGTAGAAATACTGAATAATTTTATTCTCTGGTTCCTGGGACTGAAAAGTATGAACAAACTGTCGAGTTGCGCTAGTCTCATTTTTTGCCACATCTTCCAGGTAAAAGGCTTGTTCTAGAAGAATTTGCCACTGGACCTGCGTACGACGATGCCTTTGTACCGAATAAATCACCTACCATAAATTCCAAGAAATTATGGTTACAACATATCATTCCAAGAAATGAGAGAAAAGCTTTGCAGAAATCCCTTAAAAATTTCCACATTACAAAACTGCTAAGATTAATTCCATACAACCACAAAGGCAGACAGCAAACTCTATTAATAGGTAAGCAGGAATAAGGAAAGAAACAACACACTCCTGGGTATTGCTGTATTTTCAGAACAATCAATCTGTATCATTATCAAGCCTACTTTTTCCAGCATAGCTTCTTATTTTTGCAAATCAGCAAATACCATGCTTTTCTATAACACACTGCCAATAAGTCATTCCAAGGCCCCAAATATCATCAATCATCTAGTCAACCAAAATATCGTCAAGTTATCTTACAGTTTTTACATAACCAGAAAATACATTTGGATCACTTGAGATATTGAACTTCCATACTTTCTTTCTCTATGAAAAGTCATTAAGTAGCATTGCTAAACACACTACAGCCGGCATGCCCAACCTGTGGCCCATCCCAGCTCACAATGCATCCCATCCCACTCCTGATGTAAAAACAGCAGCTCTTCTCCACAGAGCAGCCCCAGGCATGCAGCCATCACTCAGCAACAGCCAAACAGTCAGTGTGCTATCAACACTGTCAACTGAAAGCAGGGCACAGGGAAGACAGTGCTGTGCAGTTCTGACTGAGGTGATGGCAAATAATTGTATGCATATTGATACAGTGACTAAACACAGGACTCTGAAAAGAGATGAATAAGCAGGTGCTTTCTGTTGTGACAAAGGAATTTGAAAATAGAATCACAGAATCCTTTGAGTTGGAGGGGACCTTTAAAAGCCAAATCCCCTGTACTGAACAGGGATATGCACGGCTATATCAGGAGCTCACAACCTGGTCCAGCCTGGCCTTGCATGTTTGCAGGGACAAGGCATCCACCACATCTCTAGGCAACCCGTTCCAGTGCTTCACTACCCTCACTATAAAAGATTTTTTTCTTAACACCCAACTTAAATCTACCCTCTTCAAGTTAGAAATCATTTCCCATTGTCCTATTGCAACAGATCCTGCTAAGGAGTCTGTCCCCTTTTTTCTTACAGCTGCCCTATAGATACTAAAAGGTCACTACCAGCAATCTGATGCCTTCTCCATATTGTAATGCCCCAGCTCTCTCAGCCTGTCCTCACAGAGAAGGTGTTCCATCCTTTGGGTCATTTTTGCATCCATCCTCTGAACACACTCTAGCAGGTGCATGTTTTTCCTAGGCTGAGGATTCCACATCTGGATTCAGTACTTCAGGTAAGGCCTCCCTAGCACAGAGTAGATGGCACCTCCCTCATTCTGCTGGCCATGTTTCTTTTGATGCAGCCCAGAATATTGTCGGCTTTCTAGGCTGTGAGGGAACGTTGCTGGTTCATGCCCAGAGTGGTGCAACGGTGAATGTGAGCACAGTGAGTTGGTGGGTAGTGTTTCAGGAGTGGTGACAGTGGGTCAGATTGTTATGTGGCATGCTCTTGTTCATTGCTGGCAAAAATGCACAGCTAATGATGGCGACAGTGTTGAAAAACACTGTTTTGTAGCTCAGAATTTGGTCTATCAAATAGTGTTATTGTGCTCTTCGTATCTGTTATTGTTTCTGTGGAAATGAATCAGAGGCACTACTATTGGAGCAAACTATGTATATGCCACCCAAGACAATTTCTATTCACTACATGTGGCCAGGCAAGCAAAAAAGCTGGACAATCATGCACTGCAGTAAGCTATTTGGGTAAAATACTTTGAAAAAAATATTTGATTTGTATTTATTCTCATTACATTAGAATAAATTGCACATTCCCTCATTTATTAATATACCTGCTTGTGAAGTTTGACCAAACTTTTTTCACTTGGATAACTGTTCTGTCTTTCATCAAAATCCTCATAATCATCCATGTTCCTACCCATTCTTTCCTGGTACTCAGTAGGACACTGGAAAGAAAAGAAAAATAACAGTTTTTTTATATGTTTTTCAATGTTATGAACATTTCATGCAACTGAGAAGCTCACTTTAACTACAGATCTTTCCTTCTGATACTAACATTTATTTACTACTGTTAGAAGAAATAATTTTTCCTTCTGAAAAAAGATCAGTTTGACACTGTTAACCAAAAAGATAAGCACTGAAAACTATTTCTCAAGAACATACTTTGTGTTTTGCAAAAATTCAGAATAAGGCATACAGTGGGAAAACACAGCATTTTCTACATACCTCATTATACTTCAGGAAAAAAAAGGTATTACTGTATGTGATCAACTGTTACAAATTCTGCTCATAACGTACTACATATCTCAAAACACGTCAGATAATTACATTCATCATAGTAACTCATTCCGTACAGAATTCAAACTCCAAAGCTGGTCTGAAAACCACAAGGTGCCAATTAGAAAATTCAAGTTAAAGAGAAAATAAGATGCAAGCATTCAGTAGGTGTTGGAAGTACTCCATCCTCCTCCCCCCACCATGAACCAGCTGAAGATAGTTAAAGAAGAGCAAATTAATGTATTTATTACCTTTTTCAGTATTGTGTCAACACATTTTCTCAAAGGGTGATTATACTTGATACTCTCACTTACTTTACGAACTTCCTGTCGAGAAAATAAATACAGAGTTGTTTAGTTCAATAGGTGAAGTTTTACAGGAAAAGACAAGAATTCCTTCCCTACCAACGAAAACAGTAACCATCAGAGCCTATGACCAGCAAAACTTAATGAGTTTTTTACTAGACATCCAATAAAACACAAATTAAGGACAATTTAGAACGACGTTATGTATTTATAAAGCACACTACAGTGTCAGCATGCAAATATTATTCTGGTTTGTGGAATACTGTTTTCTACTCATGAATGCTAATCAGAACTTATAGCTAAATAGCTTTCTAAGTGTCCTCTGGTACTACAATTTCTAGCATTTTAGTAATTTCATTCTAAAGAAAGAAGATAAAGGAAGAAAACGGTCTAAACTAAAATGGGTGAAAGTTAAAATTTTGTGACTAAATTGCCACAACACTAATGTATAATATTCACAAGTTATAAGAGTCAGCACTGGTGCTCTTAGGAATTTTTTTTTTTTTTTTTTTTTTTTTTAATATTTTCAAGATTCAGTGTTCCTCTGAAGGCTGGAAAATAAAGAATATATATATTGGACAAGTTTTCTAAAGGAAAAGTGCAACATCTGCAGATTATAAGACAAGTGACTGCCAGTTCTCAATACTTGAAATACCTTTTTATATGCATTAACGATATAACCGATTTTATCTTGTACAAGGTATAACCTCAGAATGTGTCAATCATCCTACGGGAACTAAAGCACAGTCAAGTAAAAAAAAAAACAAACAACAAAACAAGTGCTATCTTATTAAACAAAGTTACTGTTGCTCTTTCTCAACTAAATTTCATAGTTATGTACCTCTAATATTTTTAGCATTTTCATCGTAGAGCTGTTACTGAAGGAATTAAGACTTCACTGCTATGTTATGTTGAATCATCACAGAAGTTACTAGCCTCTCCTGCAGCTCCTCTGAGTATTACTTCTATGCCACAGTATTACAACAGTACAGCAGCAAACAGCATTTCTGTTCTGTTACTACAACACGTTAGGAAATACTGCTTCCTCACACAAGCAACAGTAATGTCTCTCTCACAAGAAAATCTTGGAAAAAACATTGATCTATCTATTTTGTATTCGAAGAGCACAGAGTGGTCCTGCAAATCCAACTTGGTACCTCCAAAGATCCTGAAGTAACTTAAGACTGCTGCCCACCAATGCAGATGAGCTCAATAAAGAGGCTAAAGTTGAGACATTCTGGGCTGTAGCAACCATGCCCCAGCTGAGCTCTTCAAAGTCAGGACCCTGAACTTCAGGAGAGCAAACTCCAGTTCAAGGAACTGTTGGATGAGCTCCCCTGCAAAACTGTTCACAGGCACATAGGAACAAAACCAAGCTGGCAGCTCTTCACAGACACCCTTCTGATAGCAAAAGAGCTCTCCATTCCCCACCTTAAGAAACCAAGAACAAGAGGCTGGGAACTGGCATGGCTAACCAAGAACCTGCTCTTTAGACTGAGGCAAAAGAAAAACTGTACAGACAGCAGAAGCAAGGAAATGTGGCCTGGGAAGAATACAAGGACATTATCCAGGTATGGTATCAGGAAAGCAAAGGTACAGATGAAACTGATCTTAGAGAAGAATGTGAAAAACAACAAGAAGGGATTCTACAGGTACGCTTTTCAGAAGAGAAAAGCAAGAGGAGAGTATACCACCTGTGATAAATCAAAAGGGAGAACCAGCAACAGCAGTTAAAGAGAAGGTTTAGGTACTCATAGAGTTCTTTGCCTCAGCCTTCACTGGTAGTCAGACTTTCATGCTGCTCACATCCCTGAACCTGGAGGTGGGGGTTGAGGGAGCAAAATCCCTCCCAGTAAGTACAAGATTATCCAATGAATTGCCTACTGAATGTGTACAAGCCTTCAGGGACCAATGACATTAATCCCAGGGCCTTAAAAGAACTCACTGATGTGGTTACCAAGCCATTCTCCATCATACTTAAAAAGTTCTGGCTGTCATGCGAAGTCTCCAGAGAAACAGAAACATTACTCCATTCTTAAGAAAGTGAAAAACGAAGACCTAAGGAACTACAGGATTGTGAATGCTAACCCAATGCCTGGGAAAGGCATGAGGCAGATCCTGCTGAAAGCTGTGTTAAAGTATCTGTGAGACAAGGAGGTGAACCAAGATAATCAGCATGGCTTCACCAATTACAGATCATGCCTGACAAATCTGGCAGACATGGGAGACAGCATCAGCAGAGAAAAAGAAGAACAAGTGATGTCATTTGCCTGGATTTCCACAAGACCTTTGATATCTTCCCAGACCACACTGTTATCTCTAAGTCAGAGAGATGTGGATTTGAATGGTGGATTCTTCAGTGGATAAAGAATCATTTGGATGTTTGCAGACAAAGGCTTTATGCTTAGACAGAGGCCAGTGACAAGAGATGTCCACCATGGCTCTGCCTTATGACCAATGCCATTTAACATCTTTATCAACAACCTAGTCAAGTGTGGTATGGCTGACATTACAGAATAAATGATGTCATCCAAAGGAACCTGAACAAACTCAAGAAGCAGGCTGACATGAACATAATAAGGTTCAATAAGGCCCAGTGCAAGGTACTGCATTTGGATTGTGACACCCAGATGTGCACAACCTGGAGAAGTCGCTGAGAGCAGCTGAGAGCAGAAAAGGATTCAGATTATGGTGGATGAAAAACTTTATGCAAGCCAGCAGTGTATGCTTGCAGCTCAGAAGGTCAACTGTAACCTGGGCTGCATCTAACAAGGAATGACCAGCAGGTGGAGGTGATTGCCCCCCTCTACTCTTCCCTTGTGAGGACCCACCTGCAGTATTGTGTCCAGGTCTGCAGCCTCCAGCGCAAGAAAGACGTGGAGCTATTGAAACAAGTAAAGACAAGGCCACAGAGAAGATCAGAAGGCTACAGTACCTCTATTATGAAGAAAGACTAGGCTTGCTCAGCCTGGAGAAGAAAAGGCACAAGGAAGACCACACTATGGCCTTCCAATACTTAAAAAATATACTTGTAAACAAGAGCCAGACCAGTTTTTTGTCTGATAGTGATACTTTGGAATGGTTTTACATCTAGCTTAGATGTTAGGAACAAATTCTTTACCCAGAAAATAAAAGAACAGGTTGCCTTGACACACTGTGAATGCCCCATCCCTGGAGGGGATGGCATTCAAACTGAATAAGGTTGTGGGAAGCCTGATCTAGTGACTGACAGCCCTGATTACATCACGGGGGTTAGAACCAGAACCCAAGCAAGTCTATGACTCCAAAACATATTGAAAGACGAGCACAAAAGCATACACAACATAGTTTCAAGAACACTAGTAAAACACCCATACACCGGATTTTCTGGATTGCTGTTCATTAGTCACCAACATTACTCCGAAAAGGTCAATAAATAATAATTAAAAAAAAGAACAAACAAACAGAAAAAAACCTAACAAATAATGACTAGCAGGTTGCCATGAGATAAATATTCTTCTAGTTAGCAAACTACTTCCCTTCTGATACTTATATAGGATGTAGTGTCATCAAGAGGCACACTATGATGATCTTAAACTACAGATACCTCATAGTAAGTACTTGCATTTTCTTGCCACAAATGCCTAATATCAAGAAATTCAATGATGACAGACAATAACCTTCAGTTACTTCGTGGCATAACTAGTTGCTTACCTCCATAATATCCTCCAAATTCTCCTCTGCATCTGCTTTTTCAGTCATCAGTTTGGCAGCTTTGAAATAGGTCTTCATGAGAAGATAACCCCTCTTAGCCCCATTCCAGTGAGAACGGGGAATTTCCACCAGACCATAGCCCAACAGCAACACAAGAAGAAAGAGACCCCATGTGTTTGCAGCAGCTATCCCAATAGTCTGAAGTTGATTCCTAAGGAAAACAAAGACCACAACCAAAAAAGCAAAGTCAACAAGATATAATCCTCCATCCCACCTGCAAGGAAGTAACCTTGGAGTCTCTGTGCACAAACAAGGCTTTCAAATTTACAGAAACAAACTCTGTAACTGTTGCCTAGGTCCAATCCATTATTTAGTTGGGATTTAAACCTACCATGATTTTAACATTTACCACATTTCCAGAAGTGGCAAAAGTTCTTTCGGGCATGCCTTTCCTGGAGGGAGATAAAATATTCTTCCTGGAGGGAGATAAAATATTCTTCCTCAAAGGAATATGTTCCTAACAATATAAAGTTAGCAAACTTAATAAAAGTGAGGTCATAACACCACATCAGGAGACTCTGTAAGAAACAGTTTCAGAACTCAGGATTTGTAGTCAGTCACATAAGCTGACAGCAACTAGGCAGTGTACAACATTACAATACTTACAATATTATTCTTACCATTGTAAATTGAACTTTGGGTTTACAGCAACATATATTAAAAATGCTCCAAAAATTAGCAGATAAGTGCCATAATATATTGCATTTTCAATCAGTGCAGTTTTAATCTTTCCAGTAATGGAGAACCCTCCTGACCTAGCATACGACTGCATGAAAGGTAGCAGAATCCTACGAAGAATGCAAACAAAAGCAAAACAGATCAGCTGATCGAAAAAAAATATACACATATACATACATACATATGCACATATAATAGTCTAGCAGAAGCAAGACATTGACACAAAGGTGTTCAAAGTTTCTGACAAGATGAGCTAATGAAGTTCTTATTCCAGATAAATTGGTCTGAGGGCAAATCTTTAAAAACAAGTTGTAGATAAAAGCAATAGTTAGCTTTACTAGGAAAAAACTCCTTATCAAGAGCTTGCTACCGATCTTGATTTTCATGACTGAAAAAAAGAAGTAGCTATTTAAGAATGTGTTGGTCACTGATTATGTATAATCTAAACCAAAATCACTATCAGTCTGAAGTAGATATATTTATAGTTTTTTACTATATAATTTAATAAAATCAAATAATTTACATTAAAATTACCCAACTTATTCATTTGATGTTATGTTGTCTAAAATGCAATCTTTTCAGATAATCCCCCCATAAAAATCTGTAAGTTGGTCAGTTTTAGATACGAATGTGAACTACAGGTAAAAGGCTGCAACCTGAAGAGAGGCACAAAAAAAAATACATGATACAGTATTTAGAGAAATATCTCAGTTTCAGCTGAGACAGAGTTGTTTTTCTTCATAGTGTCTGGTGTGACGCTATGCTTTGTTTAGGAGAAGAACAACGTTGATAATACATCAATGTTTCAGCTGTTGCTGACCAGTGCTTTACAGAGGCAAGGAAATTTTGCCATAGCTATTACTCTTTTTTCTTTTCTTTACCTTATCGTAGTAAATAGTTTCTATGTCAACCCACAAGTTATACTTTTTTTCCCCCGATTCTCTCCCCCATCCCACTGGGAAGCGAGGGTAGTGAGCAAACAACCACCTTTCAGGTTAAACCACAAAAGAAATTTCGTTGACAGCTTTGCAAAATGGTGATATTGCGAGTGCTACAACATAACACTTATAAATTGGACGCGTATAACATTGTCATATTCCTTGGCTTAACTTACCATGTTAAAAATTGTGATGTCCAGTATACAACACGCCAGAAAATTGGCATAATTCCATTAGGGATGTAACTCCATGGTTTGAAACATTTTTGCTTGCTGTAATAACATACAGAAACTTATTAGCAGTTGTTAAGTCAAAAGTCTTGAATTATTTTTTTTTCCCCTCTTTAAATTCCACTATCTAGAAAGGATTTTGGAAAAAGCAAAAGAAATAACACATTATTTTTAACTACTCAACCATCAACCATACCAGAAGAGAATAAACTGAAGTATATTTAGTATTTGACTCATTAAAAATAACATATTTGGGCAAGGCAGCTTAATTTAAAAAGAGCCTGCTCAAAGAGACATTTTAATAAGTAATTCAAGGCTTTATTTTTTCTTTTTGCACTTCCTTCATAAAAAGAAAAGCATTTAACTTCAGTTTGCACCGTAGATTTTTCAGAAGTATCTAGGGAGCATACCACCTCAATATACTAAGAAGACCATTTAGTGGCAAGAAAGTGTATTAGCTGTTTCTCCTATAAACCAACTCAGCTTAGTTGCATCTCATAAACTGATTTTGTTGTACCTTTCAACAGTTACAACAAAGGTAATGTTTGCTTCAGGACACAAACAGAAAAAAAGCCTCTGGAACCTTTTTGACAGAGCAGAACAAATGGCATAGTGCTCATCTACACCAAGATACTTGTGGTGTTATTTTCCACACTTGTCTGAGCAATAAAATAATGGTGAGTCAAGGGGCAACTCCACCAGTTCAATAGGAGTATCTGTTGAGAAATAATTGATGTTTTCCAGAATGAAACCAGTTAAACCTGTGCTGTGAGGTGTTTTTTTTCCTCTATGTACAGTCTAAATATTTTCAGAACTATCAAATTAAGATAGTATGACACTCGGTATGACTAGAGGTTTCAAACAAAATTTTAAGATCTGATTAATACTAACACGATCTAGCCAACTAAGTTAATATTTCTATTTTATAGTCTCAAGTCATATACTGTATAACAGTTGTCAGCATATTCTGGAATTACAGGCAAGTCACAAGGCTATTAAATAGTTTTCACATTGTGTATTTACCTAAATATACTTAATCAACATACACTGAATAGTCTAAAACAAAAGGTAAAAAGTTGTGTTACTAGGTCTAGCATTTTACAGTGTATCCATAAATAACAATATCCTGGCAGTCTCTACTTTTGGAAAACAAATCTGGCATTACATTGCACATATTGGACACCTTAAATGTAACTACACTGCACATATCTGCAAGATGTGGAACTAGCCAACAGAGGCAAAGGAGACACAGAAAGAGTCAACATACATCCACGTTTCCCATCTTTTATTGATTATTTCCTTCCTGCCAGAAGAGAGCACGTGAGCAGTTTCAGATTACTGATTTTCTTTTATTTTTTTCCTCTCAGGGAGGACATGAGGAAAAACTTAATTACCACAAGGGTGGTCAAACACTGGAAAAGGCTTTCTAGTGAGGTGTTCAATGCTGCGTACCTGTCAGTGTTGAAGAGGCATTTGGATAATGCCCTCAGTAATATGCTTTAACTTCTGGTTAGCCCTGAAGTGATCAGACAGCTGCACTCATCTTTGAAGATCATCTGAACTATTCCTATATCCCACTGATCTACTCTATTCTAACTTCAATTATTATATATGCACAATTATAATAACCCTTACGTATGCTCCCTGAATATAAATCAAGTCTATTAATCTCTACATTCATGATTTATAGAATTAGATTTTCATATCCAAAGCCTTAAAATTATGGAGCATTCATCAAAGCATTTCCTGGTAGATAACTAAAGTTATTAAAAAAAACTTACTTCTATCAGTTTAACAACAGCAGAAATCTATTATGAAATTGAAAGCATCAATAGGAATATTTAGGTAATTAATTAGAACTAGAGTTATTACAAATAAATGCCTACCAATAGATGCAGATACAACTTTCTTCGCCTCTTCTCTCACTCTCCTATATGCTTCCAATCTTCAAATGTCACATCAAACAGGTAATACTTACATAAAGGAAGCCATGAAATATTTCTTTAAGAAAAGCCTATTTGAAGAAGACTTACCTTGGAGCAAGAGTAACAAAAGAGCCATTGGTTTCTGCAGGGCTGGAGTTAACAGCAAGCTTGCATCGATTATAAATTGTCTAAAAGATTTTTTTATCAGGAAAAAAGTACAACATGTAATTAAAAAACAAGTCCCATTTTAAACACATTTCCTTTCCTCTGAATTTACATTTGGGAGCAATTAAAGTAATAAACACTCAACATGCAATCTGCATGCAGGCAAACAAAGTAAAATGGAAGTGCTTTTATGCTGCTGAAATAGTTTTAAAAATTGCTATAAACAAAAAGAATTCTAAAAGATGTGAAAGATTTGTTGTCTTATAAGAGCAACAAAATTAACTGTAACAGAGAAGTTGTCATGCAAAAACTGATGTGCTAAGTTTAAACTATTAGAGAATACTATTTATAGAATACTATAGAATATAGTATATAATATAGAATATAATAATATAATATAGAAATATAGAATTCTCTAGAATACTATTCTAGAGAATACTAGAAACTATTAGAGATACTATTAGAGAACTTTATTTGCTGTTTTAAATATAGTACTCTGCAAATACGAATTTAGAAACAAAAATACAAATGCCTCATTTTACCTAACAGAGTGGAAAATTTTACAAACTTCTTACCGTACTGACATCCAAAGGCAGTATAAATACAATTAGAAAGCAGAGATACCAAGCCAGTAATGTTGCAATGATCACCAGCCTATGCTGTTTCCTGAAGTCTCCATATCGATGAAGTAGGAATAAGGCCAGAAAAAAGACAAACACAATCTCAAGGCCCAACGCTGCACCACTCATTATTGAAGGTTCACTCCAGACACACAGCAGAGCTCACATAAGAAGGCTGATTAGAACTGCAAGACAAGGCATTATTTAATTACATTAAAATCTCTGAAAGATATTTAGGCAGAAAAAATTTCAATATACATTTTTGAACTTTATAACAGGTTTTTCTGATGTCATTCAAAAAGAATGAAGATTTTTCAGTAAGATGCTTTGAACTCTTCCGCATCTTCATGGTCCAGAAGATCCTGAAATCATTTTTTTGTCTGCGAATAAGACTATGTAAGACTATAACTTTTACGATAACTACAAATTAAAAAAAAAAAAAAAAAAAAAAAAAAACTTTTATTCTTCATCCAGAAGAATTCAAGTAATTTTAACAAAGGAGAGGTTTAAACTTAAATGTTTCCAAAAAGCTACTCAGAAACTTCTATTTAATGGACTGTTAACCAACTATGCATTTAAATTCTCTACTCTAGAGTTAATAGATCATAAAAATACAGCGAAGCTACTTGCAATGCAGCTCTTCTAAAATTTCATAGGAGGGAATGTGTTAGCTAGCTAATTCACCTTCCTACTTTTCTTCTGCTCTTCTTCAGAAGAACACAGGTCTCCATTCACTATTAGAATTACTATATTTTCCTTTCCTCTGGGATGACTTACTGTTACAGTCAGTTACCGTTACTGCTAAAAATTCTTAGAAAGCTCGTCCTCACTCAGGCATGCTACTAAGCAAAAGACCAGTGAGCTGCACAAATCTGCTGAGAAAGTGTCACCACCTTGTTATACGGTTAGTAAAATTGTTTCTGATTTTTAACACTTCATCCATTTAAAAATATATATATATATATATGTTTACCCTGCTCAGACTAACTTGCTTTTCCACCAAAGTTACCATTTTATTTGTTTTGATTCAACTGAAAGACCTTTTGACATCATTTTCTCACTGTTCTATTTTTAAGTGTTTTTAATTGTCACTGAAATCCAGGGATTTAAAGGAAATGCTACTACTAAAATTTCCCTCAATTTACTCAAATTCTATTCAAGTAAACTGTTTCTTCTACTAATTCCACAGTACACAGCTAAAATATGTTATAAGATCTCTACGCACTGAAAAATGCTTTATTACTACTAAAGAATTTCAAAGTTTGTGGTGCCACAGTACTTCCTTTAGGAAGTCCTTTGGGACACATACAACAGTTATTCCCTGAATTTTCCCTGAAGATTTGTTTACCCCATTTTGCTCCTTTTGCATTTAATTTCTAAATACTGAAAGCAGTCTATTTACTTCATGTCAGCTGTTATACACAAAGCACCCCATATTCTGAAAAAGGGTTGAATTACCTTCTTGTATTTTATGAAAGACGTACTTTCTATATTCACTTCCTATATTGTCTGTTTTGTAAGAGGTTTATTAAGTAATCGGTAATTTTATCAAGTCAAAACATCCTCCTGCTATCTGCCTGTACTGCATTTTGGACAGCTAACTTGTCATTCATGAATCCAAGGCATCTAATCTACTTCTCGATAGTACAATAGAATACATAGAATGAACTACTCTCATTTCCTCAGAAAAGAAAGTCTTTCACATTCATAGTATAATAGCAAATTCCACTAAAAATACAGCATTTCCTCTTCACTCAAAGCCCAATTTTATTAAGGCAGAGCTATCTGACATATGCAGCTTTGGATGCCCATCATAGCCACACCTTATGCTACGTAATTAAAATTATACATCATACCCTCCATGAGTCATACCTACAGAACTTTTTACTACAGTCACACCTAAGGAGCAGAAATCTGTATAGAATGTGAAAACTTTCTGTGTAAGATGCTGCACTCAGTTCCTAACCAGAGATTTCAAAAAGGTTACAAGTGTGTATACAACGCACTAAAATAAAGAGGGAATTGAACTTAGCACAGCTTCAACTCACTTTCAAAGATTTTGTTCAAAAATGTTAGACAGAAAACAGTAAAAAGTAGTTCTAGGGAGAAAAAAAACCCCAAATAAATAAAAAAAAGTCTTACAAAGAGAGAAACAACACATCTCTTATTGTGAACAAAATCTTCTTATGAGAGCAGCCACATCTGGGTCTCTTGGTAACAGAATGAAGACGTAGAATATATTACTGAAAGACATGCTTACCTGTGGGAAACCGCACTTGCCTCTGAAGCTGGCTGTTAGCTCACAGAAAGATAAGATACTTGCCCGCAATCCTGTTTCTCAACTATTAGCACTCCCCAGAATGAGCTGGCTAAAATTCCTGAGCCCTCAGAAAATTTTCTCCTGTGATCAGTGAACTACTTCAAAAGAGCTCTCTCTGCTCCAATGTTTCTGTTAAACAATTACAAGAAGTAACAAGCTTATTAACTGAAGAGTATCTATTGACACTCCATCACTTCAGAAAAAAACACCTACAACTTACTGTAATTTAGATCCAAAGCTATTTTGTTTTAGACATGGGCTTTAAAACCATATATTCTGAAGCTTATGAATGGAAGAATCTGAGTAGCCCCACACAGGGCAAGAGCTTCAAAATTCCTGCAGGAAATCTTCTAAGGTCCAAACACAACTAAGGACTTAGCAAGAACCCTGAAAGGGTCAGTTCATACTTCAATAACCTTGAAGACTCCCTGCCATCATGTCTTAAGTTACCCTGCCAGCCTGGAGTCTATCCAAGTGCAGGGATACTTACATTACAAATGAGCTAACTGCTCACTCAGCCTGGCACAGAAATTATGTGTTAATAGATGAAACAGCAGAAAACCAACCGTGCTGCTTCTTAAAGATTCTAAATAGCTCTCGATTTTATAGCAAAGGTATTCCAAAACAGGACTAAAAATAGCAGGGCACATCTGTGAAGAAAGGCCCAGCAGGGAAATTAATGAATTGTGAAAGGGATGCTGTAAAGGACAACATCGAAGACAGCCAAAGCATGCTGAAAAAAACATCTGTGCAGCAGCACCTCCCACTTCAAGCTGAATCCAAGCTCTGGAGCACAGGTAAGAAGAAAGCTGCCACCTCCAGCACACTATCAATGGTGAGTTCTACGGTGAGCTCCTGCCTTTCTGTCAAACCAATATAAGTGCTTAATTCTAAGCTTTAGAAACATTCATCTTTAAAAAAATAAAGTGGACTATCTCACATTTCAGAAATACTAAAAGGAAGAGAACGTAACACTGAAAAGCAATCCCTTCAGACACTTTCATACTCAGCTCTGCTCAGTCTGCTGATTTTCTTTTTTTGTTACCTCCCAAGTTCTGTAGTACACACTGACCCTTGCATCACAGGGATCAGATAAGCAGATGACAGATGAAGAGCTTCTTAGCACAGACGAAACTACCTACAGAAAGAAACTGGCCTTCAGCTGCCCACAAGAGCTGATCAGTGCAGTCACCCTACTGCACCATTTAAAAGAAATAATCTCTGAAATGAGCCAACAGATGCAATCTGCATAGCTTTGCTCTTCTAAGAAACAGTGATCAAACCACACACCAACCAGTATTTTATTAATGCCTGCAATTTCAATTATCTTGGAATGTACAGAATTACAGAACATCCTGAGTTGGAGGGATCCAAGAGGATCATCGAGGTCAGCCCCTGGCTACATACACAACCACCTAAAAAACAGACCATATGTCTGAGAGTGTTGTCCAAACACTTCCTGAACTCTATCAAGCCTCTGTCTCAACTACTGCCCTACAGAACCTGTTCCTCTCCAGGAAGAGAGCTTACAAGCAAGAAGGTGACAAACTTTTTACATGCTCCAATAGTGACAGGACAAGGGGGAATGGCTCTAAACTAGAAGAGAACAGATTTGGGTTAGACATTAGGAGAAGATTCCTTACTCAGAGGGCAGTGAGGCACTGGCACTGCTGCCCAGAGAGCTGTGATGCGCCATGCCTGGAGGTGCTCAAGGCTAGTTTGGATGGGGCTCTGCGCAGCCTGAGCTGGTGGGAGCAACCAGCCCACCGGTGGGGTTGGGCTTTAACATCCCTTCCAACCCCTGCCAATCTACAATTCTAAAATAATGTATGTAAACAAGGTTTAAAACTAAACATTTAATCTTTGCATATAATACTCTGGAAATAATAACACATCAGAGTGAACAGACTGTGGGGAGGCACCAAGATATACGACATGAAAGCTGCGTAGCTGCAGGATGAACCCAGAAGAACAGAACCTGCGATGCAGGCTGCCTGGGGGATGCTCACACAGAACAGGTGTCACTGAGGAGGTCTTCACGTGGTTACAACCAGAACGCCGCAGTGAGACGGACAGACTGTTTGGAAAATCAGAACTGAAATTACAATTAAGCCTTGTTTACCCCTCCGCTCGCGGCTGTGCACAGCCGGGCCCCTCGTGCCACGCGTCGCGCTGCCGCGGGCACGACCCTGCCCGCGATAGGAGGCTCCGAGCAGCCGAGGCCGGATTCCACACGGCGCCGAAACAACGACAGCCGCCCTGTGACACAGCCCGAAGCGCCGGCGGAAGATAAAGCACACGAAAATGGGAGCAAAGCCGAAAAACGAGCGCCGGATCCCCGCTTCCTCAGCGCCGGGCGGAGCCCAGGCCCGCCGGCCGCCCGCAGCCCAGTGACGGGAACCGCGGTCGGGCCGGGCTGTCCGCGCCCCCCGCCGTGCCGCGCCCCTCCCCGGCCGCGACTCGGCGCTGCGGCCCGCGCCGCCCCTCACCGCGCTCAGCAGGCACTCCCTCGCACGGCCCGGCCGCCTTCCATGCTCGCTGCCGCCTCTCCCCCGAGCGAGGCCTTAAATCGCCGCGCACGCAGCTCCACCCGGCTCCTTCCGTGCCGCGGGGCCCGGCGCTGCTGACATTTCCTCTCCGGCGTCGCTTCCGTCGTCACCGCCTCGGCTCGGGAGGCGGGTGCGGGACGAGGCGGGGCGAACTACGGCTCCCGGCAGAGCTCGCGGCGGGCGCTGAGTGGCTTCCGGTCGGCTGGGCCTAGCGGGCGCGCGGCTTGGCGGACGCTGCGCGGAGCACGGGTCTCCCGCCCAGGCATCCGCCGCTATGCTCAGGTATGGGCGCCGTGCGGAGTATCGGCCCTCGCGGGGAGGCCGCAGATCAACCGGGAGGAGGGCTGGGGGCAGCGCGCGGGGCTCCGCGGCTGTGGGGGCGGTGGGAGGCAACGCGCGTGCCTCTGCGAGCGGCGCTCTGCGCTGAGGGCGCGAGAGCCGTGCGGGCCGCTGAGGCGCGCGGCGCTCCCTCACGCCGCCCGGGTGGGCGCTGAGGGAGGGCTGAGGGACCGCCCCGCTCCTCTGGGGAGGGGGGAACTGGGGTTAAAATTAAACTTTTTAGCGGGGATTGTTGCCCTACTTGAGGGTACGGGTTGTTAGCGAGACCTGCTCCCTGCCAGGCGGCTGTCTGCCGCCTCTCTGTACTCCGCGTCGGCCTCCAGAGAACGTGGCGATGGCCTCGCAGAACGCGGGTCTCCCTGAATCCCGTAATCCCTCAATCCGTGCAGAAAACATCTCCAGGAGATCCCCTCCTCCGGCAGCAATGTCTCCGCTGGCTTCAGCTGGGATTGGGACTCCAGCAAGACCTCGGAGTTCCTCTCGGGCATGGGGGTGTCGGTGCTGAAGAAGGACAAGCTGGGCAACGAGAATACCCCTCAGGAGCCGCTGCTGCCGGCCTGCACGCCCCACAAGCGGCTGAAAGTGAAGGAGAAGGAGTTCGTCATTGTGCGCAGGCCTCGGCTGCTCCGGGAGACAGAGCCAGGTATTGGCAGGCGGCCCTGCTTTCGTTTACCCTGCTAAATTAGTAGGAACTATTGCTGCAGCCATTCCCAACATAATTTTGAAACCCAAGGACTTGAATTTTTTATATAGGAATCTCAGAATTGAGAATCCAGCTGCGCATCTCTTGCAGGGTGTCAGGGGGCAGCCACTCACTCCATTGGGGTTGCTGTGTTAATGCGTGCAAGGGTCCCTGTTGGAAAACTGCAGGAAAGGTGCAGCAGGGACTCTGGGCTGGCAGGGGAAGGATTCAGTCCTCAGAGCAGCAGGAATACCCTTAGACACTTCTGCTTTTAAATGAATGAGCTCTGGGTTGTAGGCAGCTGTTCTGGAGCTCCAACATGTAGAATTTTTTTCTGGGCAGACAGAAACACTAGGTAACTGTGTACCTGTTTGTGAGAATTTTGGGTCGCACACATTCTTAAATAGTTCCTGAGAGATGTTTTGAAGAGCACTTCACATTACCCACTTTTCTCTGTGTACTATACAGATGCATACCTCCCTTTGGGCCCCTTTTGGAGGTGTAAGGTATGTGGCAAGGATGGGCATTTCATCAGGGGAGTATAGAGACAAGAAATCCTAAGATGTCCTTCTAGACCTGTTTTTCCCTTCCTGCTTTTGGGGAAGCATACAAGCCTTAGAATACAAATGAAATAGCTGAGATGCTCTCATTTCCTGAAGTATACTTTTTAAAATGAAGAGATGAAAGAGGAATGAGTAGTATGTAGAGTCCAGGGACAGACTGTAGTTGTCCTTCTGGCAACCAAAGTGAATCAAAGGCATCAGTAGGCAAAAATGAGCCAGCTTTAACTAGAGCATGCTCACTCTTTCCCTAAAGGAGTTTCTTGGGATGAACTTCCAGATGAACTTCTATTGGCAATCTTTGCATATTTGCCCCTGAACGACTTGTTGAAAGTTTCCGTGATTTGCAAGAGGTGGCATCGTCTGTCGTAAGTATTGCTTCTTGTCACTTAATGCTAAGAACTTTGCTTCCATAGGTTGATAAATGATTTGGTTTTCATCTTGCATGTTCAAGTGTAATTCAGTCTATTATGTGAGTTGTAAGTACGCATAGTCTCAAAAGACAACTGAGCTATTTTAACATTATTAAATTGTACTAAATGGCTTTTCTTCCTCTCAATCTTTTGTGAGTCTGGAAAGTTTCTGTAGTTGTACACAAAGATATGTCTTTTCCTTGCTAATGAGTAAAATTCTTCTCCCTAGATTTGATGAATCTCTCTGGCAGACTCTTGATCTGACTTGTAGAAGTCTGCTGCCAGGAGTTATTGGACAGTTGCTACCTGCGGGTGTTATTGTGTTCCGCTGCCCAAGATCTTGTATTGGGAATCCGCTGTTTAAAACCACAAAGTAAGGCTTTCACTGTGTACCGAGTTATTGGAGTCTCAAATTTTCAGTGTTTTTTTTTGTTTGTTTTTGTTTTGTTTTTTTTTTTTTTTAACAGCTTCACCAGTTTGTCATCTCTGTGGAGTGTGGAATAGCTGATCAGTGGTGAGGCATGTGTTGAAATAAGATCTGTATTCATCAGTCAGTTATTAAGAAATAAGCTAATATATTTGGGAGTATACTTCCAGGACCGTCATGTTCTTGCAAGTTATTTCTTTTAGAACCAGGAAATACGAGCCTCATCAGTATTTTTATGTGTGAACCTCAAGAAACCTGTGTAACTCTAGCAGGATAGACTTGCAGCTATTCTGATAAATCCTCTTAAGTATCTGAAAGATAAAACTCCTGAAGTTTTGGCTGGTAGGTTATTGGTACGGCCAGCAAGCTTAATAATACATACAGTATGCAGCTGATATTGAGAAATACAACTCCTCTCTGTAAGCTTTGCACACTTGTACAGTATTGCATATATTTATGGTATATGAAATTTGTAGTTGCTTTTTGGTGCAGTTTTACTAACCACTCTTTCTCATCTCTTAGACCTCTCCGGGTTCAACATATGGATTTGTCAAATTGCACAGTATCTGTTGCAGATCTCCAGAGTATTCTTTGTCGTTGTGAGAGACTGGAGAACCTCAGCTTGGAGGGACTAGTGCTTTCTGATGATATCATCAAGTGAGTGAAATGTTTGGGGATATTTTATAAGTAACTTACATTTAGTGCCATTCTTTTGCGCAGGCTAGGGTCAGAATACAGTTGGAGTTGTCTCTTGTAGGAGTTGTTTGAAAAGGCCTGCCCTAGTCATTTAATGGATTTAGCTGGCAGTCTGGCAGGATTGAGCTGCCTCTTTCCTATCTGTCCAAGAGACCAGGTGGGGAAGAAACACTGGTCTAGAAGAGTTGTTGGGTTTTTTTTGTTTGTTTGTTTGTTTCCTTTTTCTCAGAGTACTTATCTCTGTGGGGGTTGCGTCCCTTCACTGTTCCTACATGTGAGCTGCAGAGCTACTTTTCCAATTTCTGTGCTCCCCGGACATGTTCACATTTAGTGTATATATTCTTTTATATTTTAAGGAGTTCCAGCAACTTTTCTACCAGATGCTCTGTGTGCTTCTGCACCATTTCTCATTTCTTTGCTGACCTTCAGTGAAAAAGGTATCTGAAAAATTAGACTCTGTCAAGCACATGAACTGTTCTGTTAAACAGGAAAAACACTAATGGGTGTGCGGTCAAACTCCAGCTCAGTAACATCAGATGATTATGGGGGTGCTAGGAACCAGGCTAGATGTCTAGTGCTATGGGTGATCTGCTTTCTGCTCTTGAGTTTCCTGATGCTTTTCTCATATCAGGAAAAAAGAGTGCAAATAAACCAGTATTGTTTGGCTTGTGATGCCGAATGAAAATTGTTTACAAATTAGGCAACAATTAATGAACTTAATTGCCCTGCGTACAAATATAGTGGTTGTAAGGGGAATGCTGTTTGGAAATGTGTGTGTGTGTTTTTTTATTTTATTTATTTTCCTCCTTAACTAACCTCTGCCTCGCAGAGAAGATTTCCAAAATGAGATGATTGAGTCATATAATCATTTGAGTTTGAAGGGACCTTTAGTGGCCATCTAGTCCAAGTGCTCTGCAGTGGACGGGGACATCTACAGCTAGACCAGTGTGCTCTGAGCCCTCTTCAGCCTGATCTTGAATGCCTGGAAGCACAGGGCATCCACCACCTCTCTGGGCAATCTCTTCCAATGCTTCACTAATAAGTGCTGTAGTGAGACTGTTTAGTCTTTTGTAGAGATGCAGTGATCTTGAATTGGTCATGGTGTTTGTTCAATGAGATGTAACAGGAGAGGGCTGGTTATAAATACGCAAGCATATCTGGAATGTTGTGTAAATAGGCAAGTGTCCTTTATCAAACTGTGCCGTGATGCAGCAAGAAGTTGAGATCCTTAGTGACTCTTAATAGAGTCGGTTTACTAAAGATGCAGTGCTGCACATTCAACAAATAATTCTGTGCCTGGAATCTTCACTTTTAAATGTTACCATGTGTCTCAGCGATAAAAGCAATGTTCCAACATTTTATCTTTTTTTCTTTTCTACAGGAGCATTGCTAACAACCCCAGTCTGATACGACTAAATCTTTGTGGGTGCTCAGGGTTTTCTGCAGAAGCTTTGGAGCTGATGTTAAGCAAATGTTCTATGTAAGACAAAAATAGTTTTTGCTATTCCTACTTACTGTTAACTCCCGAGAGGAATTGTCCTTTTTATTTTTTGATAGGCATTCTAATTGTGTTTGTCTGTCAGTATGTTTTTTATGAGGCTTATTATGTTCCCCAATGCTTAACTGTTGGTTATTACTTGAATAATTATATAATTTCTTTCCATCAAGCTGTTTCCTTCTTTAATAGCAAAGAGGTACTTCAGTAATTATTTGTAAGTTTCTTTAGTCATCATCCTTAAAGGAAGTCTTGGTTGGTTCAAAACTCATCTACATCCACTTGGTTAGCTAGTATATTTGATTTTCTTAATGAAAGCACTATGTAATTCTCACATTGTGAAAGCATACAAGTTTGTTTGAGGAAGATACCATCTGAATGTGGAGTACAGGAGTTCCCTATGCAGTCAGAGAACAGTATGAATGGCAGAAAATATTATGCCCTTCCATCCATGGTAGAACAGTTCTGCAGTTTTTGAAGCACTAGTTC